GCTCACACATCCTCGAAAAACCTGGACAAAATCCCATCGGTGAGCTCCTCCGGCAGGCAAGGCTGCGTTGGCTGGGTCAGGTAGCCCGCATGCCCAGCCACTGCATGCCGAAACAGCTTTTGTTCGGCCGGATCGAGGAGTGATCTGGTACAGTGGGACGTAGAGCTGAGTGGATTTGCCGATGACCGGTACCAGCTATGTCAAGATCGGCCTCTGTGGAGGAGGCTCGTGAAGGACGCTGCTGGGCAGTTGGAGGTAGTCGCCCTCCAACAACAACGGAGGGCGGAGGAGCGACGCTCACAACAACGAGCAGAGCGCCGGGTGGCTAAAGCACAGCAGGTTGGCACAGTAGGGGGCACAGGTGGTGCATCAGCCAGTCATCTCAGTCATTCGACCCGTGGCACCTGCTGGGTCTGCCCCGTGACCTCCTGCCAGCGGGCGTTCGACACTCCACGTGGCCTCAAGGTGCACATAGCCTGGCACAAGTCCTGGCACAAATCCTGGCTTGTGCCAGGACATAGTGGTGAATGGCGGTTGTTGTTGTTGGTTGTTGTGGTGTGTGTGGTTGTGATGTTGTTGTGGTGTGTGTGGTTGTGGTTGTTGTGGTGGTGGTGTGTGTGGTTGTTGTGGTATGGTGTTGGTGGTGTGGTGTTGGTGGTGTGGTTGTGATGTGGTGTTGGTGGTGTGGTTGTGATGTGGTTGTTGTGGTGTGGTGTTGGTGGTGGTGTTGTTGTGATGTGGTTGTTGTGGTGGTGGTGTGTGTGGTGTGGTTGTGATGTGGTGTTGGTGGTGTGGTTGTTGTGGTGTGGTTGTTGTGGTGTGTGGTTGTTGTTGTGTGTGGTTGTTGTTGTGGTTGTGATGTGGTTGTTGTGGTGTGATATTGGTGTTGTGTGTGGTGTGGTGGGGGTTGTGGTTGTGATGTGGTTGTGGTTGTTGTTGTGGTGGTGTGTGTTGTTGTGGTTGTGATGTGGTTGTTGTTGTTGTTGTTGTGGTGTGTGTTGTTGTGGTTGTGATGTGGTTGTTGTTGTGGTTTGTGTTGTTGTGGTTGTGATGTGGTTGTTGTTGTGGTTTGTGTTGTTGTGGTTGTGATGTGGTTGTTGTGGTGTGGTTGTGGTGTGGTTGTTGTGGTGGTGGTTTGTGTGGTTGTGATGTGGTTGTGATTGTTGTTGTGGTTGTTGTTGTGGTGGTAGTGTGTGTGGTTGTTGTTGTGATGTTGTTGTGATGTGGTTGTTGTTGTTGTGGTGGTGGTGTATGTAGTTGTGATGTGGTTGTTGTTGTGGTTGTGATGTGGTTGTGGTTGTTGTGGTGGTGGTGGTGTGTGTGGTTGTGGTTGTGATGTGGTTGATGTTGTGATGTGGTTGTTGTTGTGGTGGTTGTTGTGATGTGGTTGTGATGTGGTTGTTGTGATGTGTTTGTGATGTGATTGTTGTTGTGAGTGTGTGGTTGTTGTTGTTGTGATGTGGTTGTGATGTGGTTGTTGTTGTGATGTGGTTGTGATGTGGTTGTTGTGATGGTGGTGTGTGTGGTTGTTGTGGTGTGGTGTTGGTGGTGTGGTGTTGGTGGTGTGGTTGTGATGTGGTTGTTGTGGTTGTTGTAGCTGTGATGTGGTTGTGATGTTGTTGTTGTTGTGGTTGTTGTCGTTGTGGTTGTTGTTGTGATGTGGTTGTGATGTGGTTGTGATGTTGTTGTGGTTGTTGTTGTTGTTGTTGTTGTGATGTGGTTGTGATGTGTTTGTTGTTGTGGTTGTTGTAGTTGTGATGTGGTTGTGATGTGGTTGTTGTTGTTGTGGTTGTGATGTTGTTGTTGTGGTTGTTGTGGTGGTTGTTGTTGTGGTTGTTGTAGTTGTGATGTGGTTGTGATGTGGTTGTTGTTGTTGTGGTTGTGATGTAGTTGTGATGTGGTTGTTGTTGTTGTTGTGGTGGTGGTTGTGATGTGGTTGTTGTTGTTGTGGTTGTGATGTGGTTGTTGTGGTGTGATATTGGTGTTGTGTGTGGTGTGGTGCGGGTTGTGGTTGTGATGTGGTTGTGGTGGTGGTGTGTGTGGTTCTTGTTGTTGTGTGGTTGTGATGTGGTTGTTGAGGTGTGGTATTGGTGTTGTGGTGGTGTGTGTGGTTGTGATGTGGTTGGTGTTGTGGTTGTGATGTGGTTGTTGTTGTGGTTGTTGTTGTGATGGTGTGTGTGGTTGTGATGTTGTTGTTGTGGTTGTTGTTGTTGTGGTGGTGTGTGTTGATGTGGTTGTGATGTGGTTGTTGTTGTTGTGGTTGTGATGCTGTTGTTGTTGTGGTTGTTGTGGTGGTTGTTGTTGTGGTTGTTGTAGTTGTGATGTGGTTGTGATGTTGTTGTGGTTGTTGTTGTTGTGGTTGTTGTTGTTGTTGTGATGTGGTTGTGATGTGGTTGTGGTTGTTGTGGTGGTGGTGTGTGTGGTTGTTGTGGTGTGGTGTTGGTGGTGTGGTGTTGGTGGTGTGGTTGTGATGTGGTTGTTGTGGTTGTTGTAGCTGTGATGTGGTTGTGATGTTGTTGTTGTGGTTGTTGTCGTTGTGGTTGTTGTTGTGATGTGGTTGTGATGTGGTTGTGATGTTGTTGTGGTTGTTGTTGTTGTGGTTGTGATGTGGTTGTGATGTGGTTGTTGTTGTGGTTGTTGTAGTTGTGATGTGGTTGTGATGTGGTTGTTGTTGTTGTGGTTGTGATGTTGTTGTTGTGGTGGTTGTTGTAGTTGTGATGTGGTTGTGATGTTTTTGTGGTTGTTGTGGTTGTTGTTGTTGTGGTTGTTGTAGTTGTGATGTGGTTGTGATGTGGTTGTTGTTGTGGTTGTGATGTTGTTTTGTGGTTGTTGTGGTGGTTGTTGTTGTTGTTGTTGTGATGTAGTTGTGATGTGGTTGTTGTTGTTGTGGTGGTTGTGATGTGGTTGTTGTGGTGTGGTATTGGTGTTGTGTGTGGTGTGGTGCGGGTTGTGGTTGTGATGTGGTTGTGGTGGTGGTGTGTGTGGTTCTTGTTGTTGTGTGATTGTGGTTGTGATTTGGTTGTTGAGGTGTGGTATTGGTGTTGTGTGTGGTTGTGATGTGGTTGGTGTTGTGGTTGTGATGTGGTTGTTGTTGTGGTTGTTGTTGTGGTGGTGTGTGTGGTTGTGATGTTGTTGTTGTGGTTGTTGTTGTTGTGGTGGTGTGTGTTGATGTGGTTGTGATGTGGTTGTTGTTGTTGTGGTTGTGATGCTGTTGTTGTTGTGGTTGTTGTGGTGGTTGTTGTTGTGGTTGTTGTAGTTGTGATGTGGTTGTGATGTTGTTGTGGTTGTTGTTGTTGTGGTTGTTGTGATGTGGTTGTGATGTGGTTGTGGTGGTTGTGATCTTGTTGTTGTTGTAGTTGTGATGTGGTTGTTGTTGTGGTTGTTGTTGTGGTTGTTGTTGTTGTGATGTGGTTGTGATGTGGTTGTTGTTGTTGTGGTTGTTGTTGTGGTTGTTGTTGTGATGTGGTTGTGATGTTGTTGTGGTTGTTGTGGTTGTTGTTGTAGTTGTGATGTGGTTGTTGTTGTTGTGGTGGTTGTGATGTGGTTGTTGTTGTGGTTGTTGTGGTTGTTGTTGTTGTGTTGTGGTTGTAGTTGTGATGTGGTTGTGATGTGGTTGTTGTAGTTGTGATGTTGTTGTTGTGATGTGGTTGTGATGTTTTTGTGGTTGTTGTGGTTGTTGTTGTTGTGGTTGTTGTTGTGGTTGTTGTTGTGATGTGGTTGTGATGTTGTTGTGGTTGTGGTGGTTGTTGTGGTGGTTGTTGTTGTGGTTGTTGTGGTTGTTGTTGTGATGTGGTTGTGATGTTGTTGTGGTTGTGGTGGTTGTGATGTGGTTGTGATGTGGTTGTTGTTGTTGTTGTGATGTGGTTGTGATGTTTTTGTGGTTGTTGTTGTGATGTAGTTGTGATGTGGTTGTGATGTTGTTGTGGTTGTTGTGGTTGTTGTTGTAGTTGTGATGTGGTTGTTGTTGTTGTGGTGGTTGTGATGTGGTTGTTGTTGTGGTTGTTGTGGTTGTTGTTGTTGTGTTGTGGTTGTAGTTGTGATGTGGTTGTGATGTGGTTGTTGTAGTTGTGATGTTGTTGTTGTGATGTGGTTGTGATGTTTTTGTTGTTGTGGTGGTTGTTGTTGTGGTGGTTGTTGTTGTTGTGGTTGTTGTTGTGGTGGTTGTTGTTGTGGTTGTTGTTATGGTGGTTGTTGTTGTGATGTGGTTTGTGATGTAGTTGTGATGTGGTTGTGATGTGTTTGTGGTTGTTGTGGTTGTTGTTGTAGTTGTGATGTTGTTGTTGTGATGTGGTTGTGATGTTGTTGTTGTTGTTGTGGTTGTTGTTGTTGTTGTGGTGGTTGTGATGTTGTTGTTGTTGTTGTGGTTGTTGTTGTTGTTGTGGTGGTTGTGATGTTGTTGTTGTTGTTGTGGTGGTTGTGATGTTGTTGTTGTTGTTGTGGTTGTTGTTGTTGTTGTGGTGGTTGTGATGTTGTTGTTGTTGTTGTGGTTGTTGTTGTTGTTGTGGTGGTTGTGATGTTGTTGTTGTTGTTGTTGTGGTGGTTGTGATGTTGTTGTTGTTGTTGTGGTTGTTGTTGTTGTTGTGGTGGTTGTGATGTTGTTGTTGTTGTTGTGGTTGTGGTTGTTGTTGTGGTGGTTGTTGTTGTTGTGGTTGTTGTTATGGTGGTTGTTGTTGTGATGTGGTTGTGATGTAGTTGTGATGTTGTTGTTGTTGTTGTTGTGGTGGTTGTGATGTTGTTGTTGTTGTTGTGGTTGTTGTTGTTGTTGTAGTTGTGATGTGGTTGTTGTTGTTGTGGTTGTTGTGGTTGTTGTTGTTGTGGTGGTTGTGATGTTGTTGTTGTTGTTGTGGTGGTTGTGATGTTGTTGTTGTTGTTGTGGATGTTGTTGTTGTTGTGGTGTTTGTGATGTGGATGTTGTTGTTGTTGTTGTTGTGGTTGTGATGTTGTTGTTGTTGTTGTGGTGGTTGTGATGTTGTTGTGGTTGTTGTGGTTGTTGTTGTTGTTGTGGTGTTCAGGCCCGGCTGGTGGGGTCGCAGCTGCTCGTGGCCGTGCGCGTGCTCGGGGTCACCGTGCGCACAGGTCACGGGGTCATGCACCGCGTGCCGCGCCGGCCAATGGGGGCCTCTGTGCGCGCGACGCTGCTCCTGCGGGCCCCACCCCGCAACAGCCGCCGACGCCCACGGCCCATTGGCTCCTAACGGCACCCTCGCCCCGCCTACTCACGGCGCGGCCACGCCCACAAGCGAGGCGGTCACGCCCACAAGCGGCGAGGCCACGCCCCCCGAGCCTGCCCTGATGCTGGAAGAGACTCAGGTAATTGAGTCAAAATCCGAAGAGCTATGAAGCTCTTTGTTGAGGTGGGGGGTGGGGAGTGGGGGGTGGGGGTTCTGTTTTGTTCGCTGGGGCATCATCAGTGCGGGTGCAGTCTGTGTATTGCAATGCACCGGGTCTGTGTCTTTGGTGATGATAGTGGTTGATGGTGGTGGTGGTGATGTTG